AAAACTCGCCAGTAGTAAAATTCTCCTTTGGGAGAGCCGTCGCGCCGCGGTGAACGTTAAACCCGCAACTTTTATCGCGTTTTATCGTCATCGTTCGCGCGATCACGCCCCCACTCCCCTCCTTACTCCTCCCAGTCCCATCGTTGATGGCCCATTTCTAGTCGCCGAGTCGATTACACGTCGCGGTCTATCGACTATCGATCGCCCGACAGCCAGCACACCGAATCAACCTTTTTCAATTTTTGTCCCCTCTTTATTTATTATTATATTATATTATTATAATATATTATTTATAATATTTATTGTTATATTTATTATTATATTATATTATTATAATATATTATTTATAATATATTAATTATATTATTTATTGTTATATTTATTATTATATTATTATATTATCATAATAATAATAATTTTTTATTATTTATTATTTATTATTAATTATTATATAATAATTTTTTATTATTTATTATTGATTATTATATAATTTTTTATTATTAATTATTTATTATTTATTATTATATAATAATTTTTTATTATTTATTATTTATTATTAATTATTATATAATAATTTTTTATTATTTATTATTTATTATTAATTATTATATATTATTTGTTTCTTTTATTATTTTTAGCAGTGTTTCTTCTCGCAACGATCGATGGAACGAAGAGATCGAGCTACAAGGCATTTTCAATTCTGTTCGATTCGTGGATATTGTTTCCCGCGAAACCACACGCGTCGCATCTTCGTAAAGGCTCTCTACGCGTAAAGACAGTAACGTTGTTACGTTGCGGTTCTTCCCGACGGAACGACGAACAGCCGGTGTCCTTGTTCGTAAAACTGCGAATGAACGCGTCCAGGTTTTCACTTACGGCGAGGATAGATTTTTCGCGAAGATAAAGGTGAGAGAAATTTGACCTACCTTGTGGTTTAAAATAAATACAAAATAAATGAATAAAATAAATATAAAGTTAGGCGCGAACTGTGTAAAAAAAAAAAGGAGAAAAATTTAATAATTTCCATCTGCGGTGCTTTGCACTACATTGATCACTTTGAACGAGAATAAACTTTGAACGAACTAAAGTTCTGAAATTGAAAAGACGAATGAATTAAAGTTCGTTTTATGAAGACTTTGAAAAATTATAAAGGATATAACGGTGTGTGTATAACTCTGTTCGACTGAGCCACCGCAGATTTGAAACAATGGATAATTTCAAGTTTTTTCCACTTAAAGAATTTGGGAAAACCATCACAGCATAATGATTTATACAGTTCTTTCTGGCTGACAATGAGAAACAGTGGGCCAGTGCAAGTTTTGAAATTGAAAGAGTGAATAAATTCAAGTTCTTTCTACATAGAGAAACATAGAAAAACCATAACAGCATCTTAGACTGAGAAACTAGTGAGTCACCATGAGTTTTGAAATTAAATTCGAATAAGTTTAAGTTCTTTCCATGTAAAGAATTTGAAAAACCATAACAGCATAACAATGTATACAGTTCTCTTCAATTGAGAAACAGCAAGGCACTATAAGTTTTAAAATTGAAAGAATGAATAAATTCAAGTTTTGGAATTAAAAGAACAAATAAAACCAACCCTTGCAATTGAAAGAATGAACGAATTCAATTACTGAAATTGAACCTTTAAAATTGAAGGAGTGAACAATCTCAACTATTGAAATTGAAAAGAATGAATCAATTCAACCACTGACATTGAAAGAACGAGTAAATTCAATTTTCGAAACTGAAAGAACAAATAAACTCAAGCTTTTCCTACATAAAGAATTTGAAAAACCGTACCAACGACGTACATACGTACAAGTATGTACATAACAGCTCTCCTCGACTGATTGTGAGGAACAAGTGCGCCACTGTATGTACAATGGCGTAACGTTCAAAAAGACATTAAACAAACAGACAAGAACCACCAATAAAACGAGGTTCAATAGCTAAGAGGTTAAGTCGATGGTATTCGACGCAACAATCGTGGAGGGCAGGATTTTGCATGGACACGACCTCTCAACAGCCCAACTCGATTATAACAGGAATCCACTGAACACGCGTAAAATCGGTGGGGCAAACGTGGGGCACCATATACGCGTAACGTACGAGTAACAAACATTCAGTCACCGGCCGAATGATGGACGAATGGTGATCATCTCGTGGCCAAGAGTCAAGCCTGCGGCGATACGTCGAGCGGACATGCCGTTTGGCATATTTCGGTGGACGAGACATTCCTGGCTCTTGCTACCGCGAATTTCTCGACTGCTGCCGCCGCATTAGTCCCGCAATTCTGTCGGTTCGCGTCCACTCGACTGACACTGGATAGATGGATCTTCCATGTGTCACCGCGCGTTAAAAATATAACCTATAAATGCACGTATGAGTTGTACAATCGTTCGCGCGATCGCGACTGTTTGTCTCGAGTTTGTTCGATGAAGAATTGGTTCTCTCGACGTTGCTGCCACTTTGGAAATTCAGAGGACGTAAAGTACGATTCGTGTTGAAGCTATACATACTATGCTATACTGGAATTTCGAGCATCGTTGATTTGACGAAACGATTCGCTTATTATGAATACCTTTGTCAGTCGTAATGAAGAGGAGCTCGAGGTATCTACATATATTTCGAAACGACGCAATATTTGTTTAATCGTTTCGATACTAACGACGACTACAGTCTTCTATATACTATTAATTATTATACTAGTTTTGTTTTCTTTTTAATCTAGTGCATTAAAATCTAACAAACGCGCGTGGTACTGAAAAAAATCGAAGGGACATGCCTACGATGAATGACAAGTTGAAAAAGAGTGAGGTTAAATTTCGAACATTGAACAATTTACCAGTGCTTAGATGATACGACAAGAGAGATATTATTGTGCCAACTACTTTCCACACCGTTGAATTTGTCAAAACCAACAAGAAGAATTTCCAAACTCGAGAAATAATACGCAAACCAGTGTGCGTAGTCGACTGGAATTATTCGATGGGAGCAGTTGATAAAAGTGACATCGAATCTACAAGGAAAATCATCAAATGGTACAAAAAGTTTTTCTTTCCTACGTTGGACGTATCAGTTTGGAATTTATATCGTTTCTGTAAATTCGAAACAAAGAGAGACATTTCAATCGTCGATTTTCGCCTGATGAGACGTTGATGAGACGAAAATTTTGCAAAAGTATCACGGTGACAATTTTGTTAACCCCTTTGCGCTGGCAACTGGTTCACGGACCATAACGAGTGACCAAACCGTACACAATAATTCGTCGCTTTCTTTTTGACCTTGTCGGTACGACATCACTGGATAAAAATTACTAAGTAATAAATTTATCATTTGTCGTTGCTTAGGTTATATTTAAATATATTTAAAACTGAGAAAATATTGCGATTTTGGGATAACAAAATTCACGACGTGCGCGGCACGTCAATCCAGCGCAAGAGGTTAAAATTATTATCAAGTCTTTGGATAAAAATCCCCTCGTGCCGACTGTTAGGCATTTCCCTTCGATTTGTATTGGTAATTGTGATCGAAAGAGCGCAGCAAGAAAATGCGTTGTTCGTTTCAAAAAAATGACAAACAACGAGAAAGTCGTTGTCGTTGTAAAATTTGCTACGTAGGTTTATGTATTTACCCTAGTTTTGAAATGTTTCGTACGAAATCGTATCATTGTACTATTTGTTACAAAGCGTTGTTACTATAAAACGCGTTAAAGTACGATTTCTTCCCACCAATTGATTACATCGCACGGCAAAATTCAACTGTTACGCTCCGGCAAAGTGGCGTTCGCGTCGTAGCTGTCCCGTTCACTGACAGCGTACTCGCGATTAAACTGTCCATTCAACGGGTCACAGTGGGCAAAGATGAAGCCATATTGAATCGGTTAACCTCCTGCCGCGCACGTCGAGAATTTTTTGTTCCGAAATTGCAGTATTTCCTGAGTTTTAAGTATATTTAAGTATAACTTCAGGCGAAGCAAATAATAAATTTATTATTACTTCTCAATAATTTCTATCCAGTGATGTCATATCGACGAGTTCAGAAAGAAAGAGGCGAATTATTGTGTACGGTTTGGTCACTCGTTATGGTCCGCAAAAACCAGTTACTAGCGCAAGAGGTTAACCTCGAGCGCACGTCGAGAATTTTTTCTCCCAAAATTGCAATATTTTCTCAATTTTAAGTATATTTCAAGTATAACCCGGGCAAAACAAATAATAAATTTATTACTTCACAATAATTTCTTGTTATTATACCGACGAGTTCAAAAAGAAAGCGACGATTCATTGTGTACGATTTGGTCACTCGTTATGGTCCGCAATCAGTTGTCAGCGCAAGTGGTTAACCTCTTACGTCAAGAATTGTTTGTCCCAAAATTGCAATATTTTCTCAGTTTTAAGTATATTTCAAGTATAACCCGGGCAAAACAAATAATAAATTTATTACTTCATATCATACCGACGAGTTCAAAAAAGAAAGCGACGAATTATTGCGTACGGCTCAGTCACTCGTTATTCAGTTGCCAGCGCAAAAGATTTAACTTCTTGCGCTGGAAACGTTCGTGTTACGAACGTCGAGAATTTTTTACTATACTATCAAATACAACTCAAAGGCGAAATAACTAACAAATTTATTACGTCTTAATAATTTCTATCCACGGTAATATCGTACCGACGAGTTCAAAAAGAAAGCGACGAATTGCCGTGTTGTACGGTTCGGTCGCTCGTTATGGTCCGCAAATCAAGTTGCCATCGCAAGTGATTGATCGCTCCGCGTCGCGCAGATTTCTCAAAAATTTTGTTTTCGATAACTCGCGATATAATTTCTGCTCGTTGTTCCAGAGAGAGAACGAGAGAGTGAGAGAGAGAGACAAAAAAAAAAAGAATTTCGTCCTTCCGAAAAAAGTAAATCTTCGTTGCTTTCGGTTACGGTTTTCGAACGAGTTTCTGGAGGGGGGGGAGTGAATCGGTACACTGGAATTAATCGAATTAATCGTTCAATCTGGCGCGGACGGACGAATAGGACGGATGGTGTTCCCCGCTGGGGAACGCAGAGGTTGGAAAAGCTCTCTTTGTTTTGTGCGTCGAAATATCGTCGAAATCCGCGTCGGTGGGACGCGTGATCGTCGAAAGAGCGTGGAAAGGGGTGGGTTTACCACCGCCCAACGCGTTTCCACCACCAACGCCGCCGACCCAGTCCCCGTCTCCGATATAAAGTGGTCGCGTGCTTGCAAGCTCAGTCACTCTGCCGCCGAAGCACCGATCCTCGCCGCTGCTCGACATAATCAACCAGCCCCTCGCCAACCGTCGCCAACTACTCCTCGGATCGCATCTCGAATATCCGCAAGCTCCTTCCACGAGGTATTTCATCGTTTCTCTCTCTCTCTCTCTCTCTCTCTCTCTCTCTCTCTCTCTCTCTCTCTCTCTCTCTCTTNTCTCTCTCTCTCTCTCTCTCTCTCTCTCTCTCTCTCTCTCTCTCTCTCTCTCTCTCTCTCTCTCTCTCTCTCTTTCTCTTTCGTTCTCCCTCTTGCCAACATCTTTCTTCTTCTTCTTATTCTCTTTGTTTCTAATTTGTACGACGAATTTTCAATATCTCGATCAAAAAAAAAAAAAAAGAAACAAATTCAAACTGTTTGATTTTCGCGTCGTTCGATCTCTCCTCGATCGTCACTCGAAATTAGTTCATATGTATATATATATATATGTACGTATCGAAAAATATTCCAGTCCGTCGCGAAACGATGCCCTACGCTTTACGTAATTCTAATGTTGTTCGTTGCATGCTCGTCTGAAACAATTGCCAATTACTTTCGCTCGTCCACCGGTGCAACGTGGCTTTGACACCTGAATGGCAATTATCATGTGGAATGTTCGTTGTTGCGAATTAATTGCAATTCCTTTGTTTTCCTCTTTTCTCTCCCCTCCCCTCCAGCGAACGGACATCTTTCTCTCTCTCTCTCTCTCCATTTTCTCGCGAGTTCGCAGAACTTTGCGAAAGTTCATCACGATCCAATTTATCCGGTTTATCGAAAAATTAAACCAATTCCTCCGGTATCTTCGAAAGACTGGCGAGCTTCTTCTTCTCGAAGAACAAGAAGAAGAAAGTTCGAGGCGCTCGTTCCTGTAATTCGCGCCCCCCCCTTGCCCCGTAAGAGACGCGGCGCATAGAGGAGGACCTGTTGCCCACGGAGGAGCGCAATTTACCCGTCATTGTCTTCAAAAGCAGACGGTGCCCGGTGAAACAAGCGCGTCATTATCGTCATCAGAATCCCTTCGACATCTCCTTTCTCCCTCTTTGCGCCTCTCGCGTCGAGACACCCGTTAAATCGTGCACATCGGCGCGCGTGTCATCGCAGATACCTCGTTGTTGAATTAATGGCGCGAGTCAGCAGAATGGCAGTATTTTTTCGAGTCACGTCACCCTACTTTTTCTATACTCCCTCCGATGTGTTATCTAGTTCTGTCAACGACAGTCACGCCTGGCTTGTCGGTGTTCATCAAGCAGAATCGAACTGTCGCTCGTCTGCCGACGAAAATCGTTCTCTCTCTTCCCTCTCCCCCCCCTTTTCGCGAAATGGAACCCGAAATGAAAGCCAGGAAAATCGTTGGCCGGCCTGTTTTCGCAAAATATTCCAGAGATTTCTCGGAGAGATTCCAATTTGGCGTTTTTTTTTTTCTTCGATCATTTTCATCTCGTTTCTTCCGTTTTCTTCTTCTTTTCACGCGTGGCTCGATTCGCCGCGGTGTGAAATCATACTTTGGAGGAAAATTGCTGGCCGAACGTATATAATTCTGATGGCCTCGTACATTTCACACATTTGGACGGAACATTCATTTCGAAGGGACAAACAAGTTTCATAGCGCCTCTATACGGAAACGAGAAACATCCTCGGATAATCTTCGTATAATAATAATCGCAGGCTATGTACAGGCGACGATGGAAAATTGTCGATAATTTCAATCTGACGCGATAAAAACGACTCAATAAAACACGAAACGACGATCCACGTTTATTTTAAAGCGTGGAAGCCTCCGCTTTTGACTGTCGCGAGCTTGGTTTTTTTCCACGAAAATTGTCAAAGTTTCGAAAATTGCTTTGCCGCAGCTAGTCATTTTGAAGATTGAAGTCTCTCCCCTTCGATAATCCTTTAAAACTCGTCGTTTCGTTTTTTTTATCGACGTGCTGGATGTCAGGGTTAAATTCGACACGAAATTCGAGGAGCTTCTGATTTATACTTAATATGACCAATGAAAATGTGAGGAAAAAAAAAAAAAAGAAAAGAAAAATGGCACAGCGTCGCAGAGAGAGAATTTTAATAATAGTGAAAGGAATTTCTACAATTTTCGAGAAGGAAATATTCTCTTTAAAGTGAAACCAAGTGCATTGTACGATCCTTCTTTTTTTTTTTTTTTCTTTCGCAACAGTTACGACAGTTTAAAAGCTTCGATAAACTCGCGCGCTGTCATTAGATTCTCGTGGATCGAGTTGGAATCCACCAAAATCTCGTGAATGAGGTGATAATATTGTGATAATGTGTGATAATATTTGCAAGAAAAACGAAACTTTTGTCGGTCGTTTTCACACTCGGACAGGACATTCATTTATATGACTTTTTTCCCATTATTTTTAGGCGTACAATCAGCTCTCGAAGTGCCATAAGTTACGAAACACCCGATTGTTAATTGCAGCAATGTAGTATTTGCAATGTGATATTTCGTTTTCGTCGTTTATTAACAAAATGTATCTTTTAGCGTGATCGGCGAAATGATGGGAACATTTCTCAAAATTGCAAAGACGCGACGCGTCGCGTGTGATTTAAGAAAATCGTATCGATCCTCTCCTATTTTCTTAATTCGAGCATGTCTATTAATTCGACTGTTTTGGCAAGGGATGTTAGTTTTCAAATACGTTCCTGCTGTCCCACACTTTTTCGACTCAAACATTTTCTTATTGCCAGTCAATAGCTTTCAATTGTGCGATTCAAAACGGAAAAATATGAATGGAAATGGAAAAATATATTCGTTCGCGACTTTGGAAGACGAAATCTTGCAAATTGCATTGCAAATTTGTCCAAATTTCTGATTTAACGAACAAACGAACGTTATAATTTTTTATAATAAATTAATAATAAATTTAACTTTATAATAAATCAATAATAAATTAAATTTTTTAATTTCCTAAAAATTAATAAAAAATAAACAATAGAATATTTAAAAATTGCAAGCAATTCTTTTATCACCATGGAAATATTCACAGACACTTACATATATAGTGTAACCATAGGTTAGAAATTATTCATTCGTTATTTAACTTCTGGTAATTATATATTTTCATTATTATATTGATAATATTTTTATATAAACGGCTAAAGTTAATTGATGGAAAAATATATTCGTTCGCGACTTTGGAAGACGAAATCTTGCAAATTGCATTGCAAATTTGTCCAAATTTCTGATTTAACGAACAAACGAACGTTATAATTTTTTACAATAAATTAATAATAAATTTAACTTTATAATAAATCAATAACAAATTAAATTTTTTAATTTACTAAAAATTAATAAAAAATAAACAATAGAATATTCAAAAATTGCAAGCAATTCTTTTATCACCATGGAAATGTTCACAGACACTTACATATATAGTGTAACCATAGGTTAGAAATTATTCATTCGTTATTTAACTTCTGGTAATTATATATTTCGATTATTATATTGATAATATTTTTATATAAACGGCTAGAGTTAATTACGTAGTTGTTGTTTATTTCTCGTGTTGTCATATTAAATTTAAATTATCATCGTAATTACTACACAATTAATTACTACACATCGTAATTAATACACAAATTTTCGGTAACGATACCTAAAACAAACGGCAGAACATTTTCTATTCCCTTCTTCCTCAAACGTCGCGTTTCTTCACAATGTAGTTGTGGTTCTCTGTCCGTGGCTCTCAAAAGCGTCCTTTTGTCGAAATTTCGCGAAATTTCTTCGAAAGCCAACTATTTATAAGCCTTTTTTTTTATATATATATAGAAGCAATTCGTTTTGGTTAAACGATGAGTTTTGCATTCCTCGTCCTCGATCGTTCTTGTTGTCCTTGATCTGCTCGACTTGATCAGTCCGGTTCCTTCGATTCGCGTCGTTCGATTTCCTGAAAACCATAAGCCGTTTAGATACTTCACTTTCCGTAGCTTCCTCTGTCGAGAGATACGGACGCTCGGTATCGCAACCATGCACATGAGAGGCATAATCGACCTGCGGGCGCGAGTGCATCCTATTAAAAGGGAATCGAGCTCGCGTCTTCGCCCGCCATGGGAAAAACGCGCTTTTCATCGCAGTGAGAGAGTTGGAGGGTGAGATTCCCTCGGCTTCTCCCCTCGAATAACTGATTCTTTACGAGCACTACTTGGAAACTCTCTATCGATTTCGAAATATATATATATATATATATATATACAGTAGCGTCGGTATTTAAGTTGACGCTTACTGTTTTCCGGGAATTTAAGCTAAAAAAAAATTTGTAAATGACAGGAACAAAGTTGTTTATTTCATTGTCACAGCTATAAAACAGGAGGCGATACATAATGAACGTGCATAAACAAGTAAATGAAACTAAAGTAAGAATAATAAATTTTTTGTATTTCGGTTATTTATTCATCATAACCGGTAATTAAGTTCTGTGAGATGCAATATATAAAATATAATGAATTTTAAATTAATCAGTCAGAGGTTTGATAACCGACTCTAGTAAGCGACGAGGCATACTATTTATTAATTTTTTTTTTTAGTGTATCTGCCGCTAATTTCATTCCATTTCTTGCTTTTTACGATTTTGTATATGCTCTGATCTTTTTTTGAAATTTGTCGCTCCCATAGATGCCCTATTTAGGATTTAAATCCTTTGGCTCTGAGGTGGCCAAGGGATTTTTCTTCGAAAAAATTTCTTAATCTATTCTTGCTGTGTGTGTTTCGTGTATCGTGTTGAAACAAAAATGGTCAACTCCAAATTCTTCAACTACTGATTGAAATAAATTTTCATTTAATAACTCAATATATTTGACAGCGGTCAGCCTTCCATCAATAATAGATAAATTCAATTCGAATTTCGATTCGTTTCACTCCAAATTATTGATTACCAAAATGAAATCGGCTTGTTGCAATGTTCTTTCAGCAAAATTTCAGACGTTTCAGTGCATTCACTTTTGAGATGTATTTTTTTTTTAAATATAATATTGCGTCCATAAATATTGCTTTCATTAATGCAAGATTTGATTTGCATTGCGATCGATATTGGTGGATGAAATTTTTTTTTCAATTTGTTGTGTCGTAACGTTTCTTTTTCTATCGGATCTCACCGAATTTTCAGATTTCACCTGTCTTTTGTAATTTTTGGCATATTTTTCCAACACTTTCTTTTTGATATTCTAAACTATTATATGCAATTTGTTGCATATACTTTTTCCTTCCATTCTTCTCTTTTGTAAATGTGTAACCAGTCGGATACTCGTAGCTCTCTAGTCTTCGGCATACTATAAATAAAAGGTACTTATTGTCAAGAAAAAAATAACCTACTAATGAAACTAAAAAATAATTAAAAGATGATGATATTTCATTCATAAAATGAAAGGTCAACTTACTTTCCGTCAGGTCTATATTTGACAAAAAGATGCTTAAATGCACAATAACTTTGTTTCTTATAATGCTTCAGCTGTTTGCAGGCTACTAAGGCATTAATCACACTTAAAATCTAGACAGAAAACAAAAGAATTTTAAATTGTGTAAGAACGTCGCCATAGCAAAGAAAAACACAACGCACTCTTCAACTTAAATACCGGCGCGACTGTATATATATATATATATACACAGAGTGTCCACAAAGTCTCTTTTCAATTTCACAAATTTATCACAGAGGCAAATTAAAGGACAGACAAGTGGAAATTATTACAAAATGAGACGTATATATTTAGGTTTTTTTTTTGGCCTCATTTAATACACCTCTGTATGAGCACCATTAGTTGCACGAAGCACATCGAGATGGTACTCGATTTCTTGCACGATCGATGTTTCCCTCGAATGTTCTTGGTCGTCCACTCCTCCCCTCATCGAACACTGTCCCCGTCTCCATAAATTTCTTGTGCCATGCACGAATCGATGGACGTGACGGTGGATCTCTTCCATACTTGGCTCTGAAGTTTCGCTGAGCCTGCTGATCCGATTTGGTTTCATTAAAACCGTGATACCACACTGTGCCTTCTCTTGAGGAGCAGCCATTTTGTAAGGGGTTCGTTTAACTCGTGTCTTATTCATCAACAGGCTACCTGAAATGCAATGTGATAAAAACCTTGAGTAACCACCGAGTACATGGAACAAATCTGACGAAAGATATCTCATCAGTTGCCTTTGTAATAAATTTCTGAAATTGCAAAGAGACTTTATGGTCACTCACGTGAGGGTTATGTTAAAGATATCGTGTATCGAACAAAGGTAAGGGACGTCACTGATCTAAAACAGAGGATCACCGATGCCATTCTCCACCATTGATGAGTGTATGCTACAGCGAACGTGGCAAGAAATCGAGTACCGTCTTGATGCGCTTCGTGCGACCAATGGCGCCCATACAGAGGTGTATTAAATAAGACAAAAAAAAACTTAGATACACACGTCTCATTTTGTAATAATTTCCACTCGTCTGTCCTTTCAGTTGCCTTTGTGATAAATTTTTGAAATTGTAAAGAGACTTTATGGACACCGTGTATCGAACGACAAGCGCTCGCGATGACTTGGTAATATCCATTTAAAAGATCGAGAACGAGCGTTCGTTTTCGACATGTCGGATATTTTGCTCGTTAACGGAATCTTTGATAGCCCTCCTGCTCAATTAACAAGATTAACGGGGTTTTTGTTTAGATTACAGGATACGGAGGATACACATCATGTCGTCGCTGCGAGTTGCTGTATTCATTGCCGTGGTGCTGGTGGTGTTGATCGACTGGTCGATCGCCCTTCCAACCGCTGACAAGGAGAGGCTCTTGAACGAGGTACGCGTTTTACGACGAAATTCCGCGATAAAAAAAAAAAAAGAAAAAGATTCGCGTTGCATGCGGTTGAGACAGACGCGTCGCGATCGATTATAAAATATGGCTCGTTAATTAATCAAAAGCAACAACAGAAAGAAACAAATAATAATAATAATAATGATTGAAGCGATCGATCGTTGTCTCGTTAGAGACAATTTTTCTAATATATCGGGACGAACGAGGGAAGGGGAATATAATTTCTAAGGTCGCGATGTGCCAGGCGAGAATCGCAGCGACACTCGAGCGATGACAAATGTGCCTCGTTACCATCTCGCGTTGCGCTGCCCTCGATTTTATCCAGTGGCAACCGTTCGTCTTGAACTCGTTTCGATCGCAGACTGTAGAGAGATCGCTGGGAAAGCACGCGATTACCGGAGAAACGAGAAGAAAAATCATGGAAGAAAATTCGACGCAGGAATACGTGTTGTGAATCGCGGGCCCTTGTTACCACTACGTCCCTCCGTTTCTTCTTTCATCGTTTGCCTTCTCTCATCGATGTAATCATCGAATGATTTGTTCAACGAGTCGTTCAACATTTGTTCAAATTTTGCTGAGTGATCGTGGATTGAGTTTTTCGTGTTGGTGATAACGATCATTGTGATCTTTCGTGTCATTTTTCTACGTATAAATAAGTAAACAAATATTTGTATTTATTTGCAAGTTGGAAATATTTTTATTTATTTATTTAAAAATTACGAATATTTTTGTTTATTTATTTACAAGTTAGAAATATTTTTATTTGTTTATTCACAAGTTAGAAATATTTTTATTTATTTGTTCACAAGTTACAAATATTTTTATTTATTTATTTACAAGTGACAAATATTTTTATTTATTTATTTACAAATTACAAATATTCTTATTTATTTATTCACAAGTTACAAATATTTTTATTTATTTGTTCACAAGTTACAAATATTTTTATTTATTTATTTACAAGTTACAAATATTTTTATTTATTTGTTCACAAGTTACAAATATTTTTATTTATTTATTCACAAGTTACAAATATTTTTATTTATTTGTTCACAAGTTACAAATATTTTTATTTATTTATTTACAAATTACAAATATTTTTATTTATTTGTAATGTGTAAGATACAAATATTTTTATTTATTTATTCACAAGTCACAAATATTTTTATTTATTTGTTCACAAGTTACAAATATTTTTATTTATTTGTTCACAAGTTACAAATATTTTTATTAATTTGTAATTTGTAAGATACAAATATTTTTATTTATTTATTTACAAGTTAGAAATATTTTTATTTATTTATTCACAAGTTACAAGTATTTTTATTTATTTATTCACAAGTCACAAATATTTTTATTTATTTGTTCACAAGTTACAAATATTTTTATTTATTTATTTACAAATTACAAATATTTTTATTTATTTGTAATTTGTAAGATACAAATATTTTTATTTATTTGTAATTTGTAAGATACAAATATTTTTATTTATTTGTTCACAAGTTACAAATATGTTTATTTATTTATTTACAAGTTAGAAATATTTTTATTTATTTGTTCACAAGTTACAAATATTTTTATTTATTTGTTCACAAGTTACAAATATTTTTATTTATTTATTTACAAGTTACAAATATTTTTATTTATTTATTCACAAGTCACAGATATTTTTATTTATTTGTTCACAAGTTACAAATATTTTTATTTATTTGTTCACAAGTTACAAATATTTTTATTTATTTGTTTACAAGTTACAAATATTTTCATTCATTTCTTAATTATAAATATTCTTATTTACTTATTTCTCCGTATAAATAAATGAATAAATAAATAAATTTCGCCAGGCAAACCCCGTGACCAATCGAAATCGAGCTCCACGCCACCATATTGATCACCCTGGTTGCTTAGTTTATTTACTCTCTCGATGAAATAATAAAGTAACAAATGATATTTATTTAATAAATTAAACAAACAATCAACAATATCTATTTATTTAATAAGTACTAAACAATAAAGTAAATAAATACTAAACGATAATTATTTATTCAATTAATAAATAACAACAGTGAATAATATTTATTTTCAATAATATTTATTTGTGCGAATAGATAAATTAAAAAATAATATTTATTTGTTCGAAATTTGTCATTCTTAAGAAGTAAAAAAGAGACAACAATTTAAACGTTACGGTCACGCGCGCGTTGAGACGAATGGATGCAAATTTTTTTACGAATTATGGAAAGCTCGCACCGGATGACAGGGACAGTGAAACGTTTTTAGTATTAATTTTACGAAGGAGCCGCATTGTTACGCCCTTCATTCGTGACATTTCATATTTTCGAACGTTACATATTTTGTTTCTGCACGTTTCCGTATGTTTCGTGTATCCCGTATTTTCCCAGCAGAGGGAAAAATGTTAATAATCGGATCCAAGAGTGAACGACTCAAGGTTCACTGGGTAAATTACTACGTAGACTGCGGACTTTAGTTTAAAATATATACCCGTAGAAAATGTAGTTTGAAAAATTTTAAAACTAAATTTAAAAAATTTTAAAACTAAATTTTAAAAAACACCCGTTTGAAATTGTAATTGAAAAATAGAAAACTGTTTCTCGTACTGTTAAAATGTTATAAATCGCATCGTATTTCGAATATTTTTTACGCTTTTTCATTCTTTTCCGTATACTTTCCATATACTTTTTCGATTTAGTAATGATTATTACTTTCATAATTTTTTTAATGTGTAGAACTGGTTGTATGAATTCGAATAATTCACACATTGAAGCGTTTTTTCTTTTATTATCAACAATTGTATTAATTTTGGTTTTATCATCAACAATTATATTAATTTTGAGCCCTCATATATATTATGATGAGATGGACTAGCTTCTTATCGTTTAATTATTTGTTACAATAAATTGAAAATGCTATAAATGAACGTTGAAAATACTAACAATTGTTTAGGAGACAGAGGAGTAATTATTCCATTTCTAAGATTGCTCGATAGATGAGATTTAATTAATTATGAGATAAATAATTCATTAATAACACACCATTCTGACGGTATCGCGATTTTGTATCTTCAAATTTCTCACAGACGTGTAAAAAAAAACCTCTGTGAATGTTGGTCTAGGTTAGGTTTGGGTTACAGACATTTTATTATATTTAGTTTATTATATTTTTATTATATTTAGTTTATTATATTTTTATTATATTTAGTTTATTATATTTTTATTATATTTAGTTAGTTTAGAATTAGACTATAGGTTATGTTCGCAACAGATTGGCGAACGTAAGGACCTCTGTGAACGTTGGTTTAGGTTAGGTTTAGGTTACAGAAATTTTATTATATTTTGTTTATTATATTTCTATTATATTTAGTTAGTTTAGAATTAGACTATAGGTTATGTTCGCAACAGATTGGCGAACGTAAGGACCTCTGTGAACGTTGATCTAGGTTAGGTTTGGGTTACAGAGATTTTATTATATTTAGTTTATTATATTTTTATTATATTTAGTTAGTTTAGAATTAGACTATAGGTTATGTTCGCAACAGATTGGCAAACGTAAGGACCTCTGTGAACGTTGGTTTAGGTTAGGTTTAGGTTACAGAGAATTTATTATATTTAATTTATTATATTTTTATTATATTTAGTTTATTATATTTTTATTATATTTAGTTTATTGTATTTTTATTATATTTAGTTTATTATATTTTTATTATATTTAGTTAGTTTAGAATTAGACTATAAGTTATGTTCGCAACAGATTAACGAACATAAGGACCTCTGTGAACGTTGGTTTAGGTTAGGTTTAGGTTACAGAGATTTTATTATATTTAGGTTAGATTAGAAATAGATTGGAGAACGTAAGGACCAACCATCCGTTTGCAATCAGATCCGAATCAATTCTGAAGGGACGATCGCGCGAGAAACACGAACGAGGGCAGAAAAGGTGGAAAAGGAAGCGAGAAACCTGTTGCTTGATGATCCCCGTTACCAGCGTGTGTTGTGAGCTCGGAGAATGCGATCCACACAATGGAGAGCACAACTATACCAATGACAAAAGAGAAATTATCGACAATTTGAACCGATGCAACTTTGTAAGAAGAGACCGTACAACGATCCACTTCGTTTCATTTTAAAGTGCGAAGTCTCTGCTTTGACGAACGAGAGTTCGCTCTTTTCAAAGGTGACATTACATTATGCGGCCGGGTGGGAAACTGAGGACACGTTTTTCTCGAAAATTGTAGACATTCTAACGCGCGTTAAAAAGCATTCTTGGTAAATATAATCATAAAATGGTTTTGAAGATTGGCCTTTTGTTTACTCTTTCGCTGGAATAACGTGCCACGCACGTCGAGAATTTTTTGTCCCCAAATTGCAATATTTTCTCAATTTTAAGTATATTTAAGTATAACTCAGGCAAAGCAAATAATAAATTTATTATTACTACTCAATAATTTCTATTCAGTGATATACCGACGAGTTCAAAAAGAAAGAGGCGAATTATTGTGTAATGTTTGGTCACTCGTTATGGTCCGCAAAAACCAGTTACTAGCGCAAGAGGTTAACCTCTAAGGTCGAGAATTTTTTTGTCCCAAAATTGCAATATTTTCTCAATTTTAAGTATATTTAAGTATAACTCGCGTGAAACAAGTGATAAATTTATTACTTCTTAATAATTTCTATCTATTTACAGTTATATCGACGAGTTCAAAAAGAAAACGACGATTTATTGTATACTGTTTGGTCACTCGTTATGGTCCGCAATCAGTTGCCAGCGCAAGTGGCTAACCTCTTACGTCGAGAATTTTTTTGTCTCAAAATTGCAATATTTTCTCAATTTTAAGTATATTTAAGTATAACTCGGGTAAAACAAGTGATAAATTTATTACTTCTTAATAATTTCTGTCTATCTACAGTGATATCATACCGACGAGTTCAAAAAGAAAACGACGTTATATATTGTATACGGTTTGGTCA